AAACAAAACCTTTTGCAACACTTGAACAATTCAGTATGTTATGAATAATAAATGCCAGAATCAACAGAAATCCTGTTACTTTTCACAGAATAAGTAATAATCCTTTCTAATTGTATTAAGATTTGTTTTTGTCATCTCTGTTTGGGCGACTGCAGCTTTAGTTCTGCAAATCTCATTTTGCAGTTACTGCACAGGACACACGTCTTTTCATTCAAATCTAAAAGCAAACACATGTGCTGATTTTTAAAGCAACAAATCATTGTACATATTTAATAGCGGTAAAAATGTTTTTCACATTTTAACCCAGCACAAGGTGAGCTCCACAAACAAGAGGGAAAAATCAGTTCAAACATAAAATATATGTTTCAATTTCAGTGCATTATGTTTGAGTCGTTTTGGAAACTGTTACTTATATTTGTTTTATTTATTACGTGTAGATTTATTTGGGGGTGTTTGTTCCAACCCAGGTTAACAGTATAAGTGAGGCTCTTATTAGCTCGGGGTTCCTGTGTTTTGTTGCAGAGGTCACACCCGTACACACACAGCTGGAGCCGTAAGAACAGCAGCTCTGCAATCATCTCCAAAGTCATGACTTCTCAAGACAATGTTATCCAAAGCAACGACAGCTTTACGTTAATCTTTTGCATTTGCTCATTTCAGAGTTATCAAAAATTTACAATGAACAGTGCACAAGTTTCCCTTCTTCTAAAAGTAATGCAGTTTAAAACATCCCACTGCTTCTATAAACAAAACAAAACAATGATTTATTCCCCAGAGGTTTTTTTACTTGAAACTTGTCCTACTTCTTTTTTTTTCTTTCTTTCAGCAGAAAAAAGGCAGATGGCACCCTTTCTGATTCTTTGGTTTGTCTTATATGCTCCTTCCTCCTCCTCCTCCTCCTCAGCATGCCTCTGGCACAGAACACCCAGCAGACTGGATTTAAAGGGAATTTGCGACTGTTAGTCGAAACCTTAGAACAGCCACACCTTCCTTTTAAGATCTTGCCTGCTGCTCTGTCTCACCGCCTCCAGTCCTGGACTCACTGATGTTTTCTGCTTCCGCTGCTTCGCTCTGTGCAGAGTGAGGGAGGACACAGTGCTGAGGTTACGCAAGGGATTTATTCAGTAAATACCTGAGAAACAGATTCAAGAGAATCAGGGAGGAATGGGCTCAAAACAATCGGACCGGAATAAGGTTTGGTTTATGGGTAAACATGAGGCAGACATGTTTGTGCAAATGCAGTGAAATAAAGCGTTCGTCAGTCAGAACTGATTCTGCCACTCTGCAGATTTCCACCCGTCCATCACCCAGCCGCTGCCTCCTCCTCGACTCTCATCTCTCGCTCTTTAAAAACCACAGAGTTCTTCACGCATAAATAAAAAGACTATTGCTCTTTCTCTCTGCACATTTCACACAAAAAGATCTAAATCTTCATTTACTCTCTGTCAGTCAATAACACATTCCTCAGCTGCTCTTATTTTATT